AATAGCTAAAGCGGCTAGTCGCTGGCTTCCGACCGTGGCGGCCCGGGTTTGATCCCGGGTCTAGTCAAGTGGTATTTGTGGTGGACAAAGTGGCGCTGTGGTAGGTTTTCTCCGAGTATCTCGGTTGCCAATCTTCATTCCACCAATTGCTCCACAATCACCCTCACCTATCATCTGGGGCTGGTACAGTAGGCCAGAAGTGGCCGTAGTACAAGGGACTTAGTCCCACCCCACTGGCATTAGAATAATCGTCGGACGTAACCATAAGAAACATGCGAGTGAAACCATTTCCATGCAAGATGCATCGCACTTGGTTTACATTCTTTGCCAGTCAGTAAGGCGACTTGCTATGGATTGGAAGTCCGGGTATCTTATCCCAGAAGTGCTAGGACCTTCGGACTTCAGATCCCAACACTGCTATTGAATATTTCTCCTCAGAATATAAAATTCAATATCGACATTCGGACCTGAGCCAGATGAATCCAGTTCTCACCCTCATATTTCGCTTCTCTAATACGCACATTAATATCATGTGGTGTCCCAAGCAGTTTCTTCCCTGTACAAATGATTACAGGAAATAATAGCAGACTGCACTCACTGCAATGCGTTGCTGCAAGACAGGTCTCTGGATCACGAGTGTGGCCATGAGAAGCCTGAGAACGTAACTCAGTGCGGTTCTAAGGCTGTGCCATAGTTCAAGAGGTTAGTCACCGAGTTCTCACCTTGGCGGCCTGGCTTTGATCCCAGATCAGGCCATATGGGACTTGCAGTGGAATGAGTGACATTGTGGTACATTTTCTCCAAGGTCTTCGGACATATCGAGAGATTAAAAATGGCGGTTAGGAGCAACGAGACGAGCTAAGAATAAACACTGTTATTCAACACTGTGTTTAAATTATAGATCATCACACATTGTGCGTTTAAGCTAAGTAACTAAACTAACTAACGCTGAGGCCTTTTGCATTTCAACACCGCTGATAATTATAATTTACAGTTAAACAGGGTCCTAATATTTTAAACAAGACACTCAGTTCATAGAATAGAACATGTCGACAAGCGATTTGCATTACTGCCGCTGCGTGCACGCTACTTCTGAAGCTGGAACTGTCTGTGCTGGCAGTTCCAGCAACAATTGAAACCCTTGCAGTAGACGCCCTGTACTCAAACTGCTATTTATCAGTTGAGCCGAGTGGTTTGGTAGAGTTGGGGAGGACTTGTCCTCATAGCTGGAATGTAAGGGGATAGATTAATCGCGAACCAGTGTGCGGCGGGATCCCAACTCCTGCTTCTCCCTGTCCCATAAACTTCCTTGCCTTTTGTGTGGCAGCCACTAAGTTCAACCTGCGTGAAAGAGCTGTGAAGAAACTTCTATCGAGTCGTACACAGGAACGAAGAAGAAGAAGAAAAAAAAACATTCCCATCCTCTAGGCCAGGGGTCTCCAAACTTTTCGAACCGCGGGCCACATTAGTTTTATTGAAAGCACAGAATTTCATAAACTAAATACAAAGTACGTGAGAATAAATTATCGTATATTAATGACAACAGACTGTAGCAGCAAATGTTCATATTTTCATCACAAATTATAATAAAACAGTCAATGTGAATGATGGAACTCTTTTTTCATTCTTAAAATCAGATTCAATTGAGGCTAAAATTTTGAAACGCTAATCACAAGTAGCGACTTTAAATGTTCATCGGATAAATTTGCCCTGTATTTCGACTTGATGTACTTCATCTGGGAAAAAGTTTGTTCACACAAATATGTCGTCCCAAAAATCAATATAAATTTACAAGCAAATTTCTTTAAATTTGGAAATTGCTCAGAGTTCAGAAATTTATAAAATTCGATCAAATTTCCTTCCTTTTATTTGTCTTTAATATGATAATTATCCTGAAGTTCAATAATTTCCATTTGAATTTGACTTGGGACATCTGTAGCATCACAGTCAAACGGATTTTTAAACAATTTAATTTCCTGAGCACTGGGATCCAAATCAGCAAATAGCTTCCGAAATTGTTCTTTCAAATCTGAAATGACTAAATTTTCAAACGAGGAAGGAAATTCAGCTTCACCCTTTTTATGCAGCTCTGCACAATATAGCATATGAATAAAGTTCCAGTTTTTCTCTTGGCTTTCCAGAAGTATCAACCTTGCTCTGAATTCCTTGATAAGTGCAAATACATTACAGACTAAGTTATTTTCACCCTGCAACTTTAAATTCAAATTGTTTATATGGTTCACCAGATCAGCAAAAAATGCTAATTTCCAAAGCCACTCGGTATCTGATAAAAGTGGTTGTAAATAATATTAATATTAACATAATATGGAATATCAGTATATTTTAAACGCAATCTTAATTAATGAATTTGAAATCTATGAACAAGTATTTTTTTACCAGTACTCATTGGAAAATTAGTTCAATTGGCGCATTTCTGCACAATTCTTTCGCGGGCCGGATAAAATCACATCGCGGGCCGTAGTTTGAAGACCCTTGCTCTAGGGTGTGCCTTCCAGAGGCCTGTCACTTTCCCTTCTGGCTCAAAATGTTGAACTGCGTATGTTTTCCTTTCTTACAGTTTCGTCTGTTGTTCTTCATCCATGTCGTTGTTTCTTCTTCTTTCTCTGCAATACTATTCTGCAGTGAACACACAGTCGGACGTATGTTGGAGTCGAAATTTGAACTGCTTACATTGAGTCGGCTACCAAATTTGGTAAGATTGGCTAAGTAGGTTATTATAAACATGAATCATTCGGAGCTGCAAACTACAAAGTTCGTTTTATTCCAGCGGCGGGCTGCATTTTCTCCTGCTCATCGATCCGTGGACAGTAAGGTGGAGAGACACGTGTGGCTCTTAATGCGGCATACCAGCATTCCACTGATTTTCCCGGAACTATATTGGTTTCTGATGCCTCAGAGTGTGCGTATATTGAGGTCTTACATATTGTAACGTAGACGCCCAAAGCGTTTCTAGGCAACACATTCCCGTGAATACGCAACAGTGGAAACTGTGTTCGCTGTGGGCTATACTGCAGCTAGTTGCTAGGTGACGCAATACTGCTGACAACGGAGGAGACTGTTTTCTATGTGGTCCGCGCCGCGGCCGTTCCTGTGCATCGGCTGGGTAAACGAACTTCAACAAGAGACTGTTTTCCGTGCGGGCCATGCTGTGGCTATATAACGAGAGCTGTGAGCTGTAAGTTTTGTGACTGGCAGTGACAGTGCAGAGTCCAGGAGCGTTCAGCAGTTGAGAGTACAGGGACAAGAATGGAGCGTGTGACTTGAAGAGTTTAATTATGTGTAATACTTGGAGTGTGTAATCCAGTGAGACTGTGCTACTTTCTGTGTTGAGATCCGTTGCCACTAGACGGCTAGTGAAGACCGAGAATCCTGGTGCGTGTGCAACGATGAGCCGACAAGTGTGTAAATCAGCGATATCGCTGTATTGCCTCTATTGACTGCAATTAAGAGAACTTGTAACCGAAGTGCTAATAAATCCAATCATCCGAACTAGAACCCCTTATTTTCGTCACGCGTACCCCCTACACGTGACAGTATGAAGCAGATATATAGTGTAAGTGGTTTTGAGAACCACTTCGGGAACATATTAATTAAACTGATTAATATATATATATAGTGAATGCTACAGTATATAACACAGTTGTTGAACCACTAAGCTTACATGTCCTTACGCTACATACATGATATATTAATCGTAACTAAAAGCTCACTTACTCATGGAACTGAGTCCTTCTTGAGAAGCCGCCAGTTGTGCAGCTACTCCAAAACTTCCAAGCATTTTATGGAACACGGAGGTTCATTACCGTGTTCACAAGAGCCCTCCAGCAGTCCATATCCTCAGCCAGACCAACTGAATCCATACCATCCCATCCTATCTCTCCAAAATCAATTATAATATTGTCCACCCCCTAGGTTTTGGTCTTACTAGTGGTCTCTTTCATTCTGGCTTTCCCGCCAATATCTTATATGATTCATCTTCTCCGACATTCATGCTACGTGCCCTGCCCACCTCATCGTCCTTGATCATTCTAATTATACTTGGAGAAGAGTACAGGTTATGAAGCTCCCCTAACTAAAAACAAGATCTGAAGATGGCACCCCTGTGCCGAAATACGTGTGTCACCCTAGGCAGGAACTCCGTCTGCTGAAAATAATGTTGTGTTGATATTATGTCTATATATTAAAAGAAAGCTCGAATATTTGTTGTGTTCGTGGAGGTAAGAAGGGAAAAGGTAAAATTCTTCCTCACCTTAAGTGGCACTCTTTGAAGGCGTATGTCGGCGTGACAGTGGCCAGTTTCACACTCTGACCTCTTTATCCCCGGCGAATCAGCCCAGATTCCCACCAGATAGGAGGTTGTGTGGTCCCCGGAGCTGGTCCGGGTCCTGCTTTGTGGAGAAGAGAAAAAGCTTTGTTTCTGTCGCAGATCCAACCCCTACTCCCCGGCCTCTACCGACTGAACACTCCCTGCCCGGCCATGCAAGAGTATTTCGTCTCCCTTCCAGCGATGTTCAAGTGCATTCATAAGTTTCTGTAGTCTTATTCAGGGGCCTACTCGACAAAAAACATGTAGCAGTCTCATCAGATAAGGGTGGTAGGGTGCACTTCAAACTACAGTACAGGACTTTCCAGAGCCATTCTTGCGGTCCTGCACACTTCATTGCCTGTGCAGATACAGATCCACTGTTGCAGGGATACAGACACTACAAATATCGCGCTATGCCTACGTTTTTATGGAAAAGCTGTAAATTTTAAATAGTCATGTGGTTTAAATTTCGAAAAACGCACACGCACGCACAGAATAATGATCTCATAAGAGTATCCCCCCCCCCCTAACAAAGTAAAGTAACTTCACCGAAGAAGTTAGTGCAGATATTGAAATATTTCTAATTCTTACTGCATGCTCCCAGGACTGCTCGAATCGTTATGTAACCTCCGTATTATTGTTAATATTATTATTATTATTATTATTATTCTAGGTTTGACTGCGGCTCGGGTCTGGGAGTGGTTCGATCTGAAGAGACGGTATTGCTGAACCAATGGAACCGGCTCACTTTGTATCGCCACCGCTGGGACGCCTGGATCCAGCTGAACAATGGCAAACATGTGGAAGGACGCTCCAAAGTATGTTCTCTCATTAAGGGATCTTCGCTCATCCCCTTGAGCCTCATGAAAGTGTTGCATGAATAGTAGGCTTAGTGTTAGACACCACGGCCGGAATTTCTGCTGCCGCTAGATAAATTGTTCATCCAGAGAGGAAGTTACGTACCGTATTGTCTCGAATTCAATGCACGCCCTCCCTTCAGATGTCTTCTGAGAAAGAAACACCTGCACTATTACACTCACAAGTCAGCACTTATAAGAATTTTGCTAGAAATGGCCACCAAAATGAAGTTGTTTCAAGCGGATCTAGAAATTGTGACGACGATGTATTAATACTGTCTCTGGACCAGGGATAGGAAGTAGATCTATCGATTGGGCCCAACTGAGTAGGCTCTTACCTGAGGATGGAGGCACAGTCAAGTCTTCGAAACGTTAAAAAACAGGAAGATGGACAGTGCCCAAAAAGTCAGTAATTATAGTTATTTCAGTTTAATTTTATATATGGTTCATTTGATGCTGTACCAGTGATGTGTATAAACAGTGTTTCCTTCCTCAGATTAACCTTACAGAATTGGAGTACACTTTATATTCGGTGGCACAGTAATCCCGGGCAAATACTGTGATCCTTAGTAACAACTAAAACTACGAAATTCAGACTTGTTCACAGTTTCTGCATGAGCTTGTCATGTGAGCTTGTATTGTCCTTAATAGGGTGTGTTATCTAGTAAATTAGAGTGTGTCCGTAAGTTATTGCTACACCTTTAATATCTTATACCAAATTAAGTATTACAGCTCAGCAGTTGTAACTCGTGCCATTTGAATGTCGAACAGATTTAGTTAGACTTTGTATCTGTAGCCTCTGTCTGCTCGCTCTGTCTCTACCAGCAAGGCAGATTCGCCTCCCAGTTTGGTGGTTTGCGCGCATGCACAACGTTGCGAGTCGCTCACAGCCGGATTAACCCTTATCTCTCAGGTCACTGCAGTGTAAATGTTGCATTTGCAACAATGGTGTGAGTGTGTAATGCCCCTTTTAGCAGCGTGTACTGGTTTCATACAGCATTTAATGAATACTTTTAACCAGTGTGTCAACTGGAAATCGATGCGACTCTAATTTCAAATAGCTCCATGGAATGGAGGGTGAGGGGGCGTTACCCTCATATTTCATGGCCTTGAATATAGGATGGTGTTTCCATAATACATGACCTTATAGTGTTCTGCGAGTCAGTGTGGGGGAGGAAGAAATTATAAAAAAGTAAAGCTATCACTGTGCCGGTCACGGTAGCTGAGCGGTCTAACGCGTGCACTGTCTTCGCTCGCTCGGAAGGCGGGATCGTGGGTTCGAATCCCACTCAGGGCATGGATGTTTGTGTGCGTTTTTCTGTCTTTGTCTACAGGTAGAGGCCTTGCGACGAGCTGATCACTCGCCCAAGGAGTCCTACCGCATGTGTAAGATCTAGTAAACCGAAGTGAAACGGAGAGTTTCATGGAGGTAGGCCTAGGCCCAAATTGGGGCTGTAGCGCCACAGAAAAAAAAGCTATCACTGTAACCGCCCGTGGAGACCCATAAGGTTGTGAGACGTCGAGGCTCTCACATTTTCTTTCGACAGTCGGCTCACAGATGGCGGTAAGGTTGTCAGCCTTCCGCTCCGGCAGCCCTTTATTCCCCATGAAGATTCCTGGTAATTATTTCTGTTAGAGGCTGAGCTGACCTCAGGGCCAAAGTGCGGCTGGAAGGATTAGGTCAATTGAAAACATCCGCCTAATCGGGACTCGAACCCACGAACTTCCGGCTTTAGCATAGTGCATCAACCAACTACGCTACCGCGTAGTTATATCCACGGTAATATATACCTGTGAATCATCACATAAATAAAAGCGGTACAAGCAAGGCAAGAAGGCACAAGCACGTTAGTCAAATTTCGTACGAAGAAAGAAAAATCCTGGGAGTAACTAAGTAAGCCTGCATTATTTCAGATGCTTAAGTCAGTATACATTCGCCACACATCTTTCCAAAGTGTTCCAACCATATGGCACTAAACTTACACCAGTTGAAGAAAATGAAATCCATAATTACCTTGACGCTCCCTATCAGATGCATCAACCTATGCGCAATTTCAAATACAAAGAGATCGAGTCAATCATCAAAAAGGATCTAAATCCAAAGAAAGCTCCTGGATTTGATTTAATCACAGGGAAAGTCTTAAAAGAAATTTCGAAAACATGCATCCAAAAAATAACGCATATATTCAATGCTGTGTTAAGACTAGAATACTATCCATCACTATGGAAAGTATCACAAATCATTATGATCCCAAAACCTGGAAAAAACAAAACAGAAGTCACATCCTACAGACCAATAAGCTTGATCCCAGTCCTCTCTAAAGTACTGGAAAAATTACTCCTGAAACGACTTAATCCGGTATTGGAAGCCCAAAGCTTAATCCCTAAACATCAATTTGGATTCAGAAACAGACACGCCACCACAGAACAAGTCCATAGGGTGGTCAACACAATCAACAAAGCTCTCGAAGCAAAACGCTACTGCTCAACAGTGTTCCTTGACATCAGTCAAGCTTTTGACAAGGTATGGCATGTGGGATTATGCTACAAATTAAAACAAGCACTACCACATCAAATGTATGCCACACTGCGATCCTATCTCACACAAAGGTACTACCTCATAAAACAGCAGGAAGTATACACAGACCTGTATCCAATATTATCTGGTGTACCCCAAGGCAGCGTGTTGGGGCCTGTCTTATACTTGCTCTATACATCTGATCTCCCTACAACTCAACAAACAACCACAGCCACGTTTGCTGACGACACAGTTATCCTGGCGTCACACAGCAACCCCCTCATCGCTTCCTTGCACCTACAAAATCACCTTAATCACATCCAACATTGGCTCAACAAATGGCGCATGAAGGCCAACGAAGATAAGTCTACTCATGTAACATTTACCATGAAACATGACAACTGCCCTTCAGTACAACTCAATAATTCTCAAATTCCACAAGCAGACGACGCCAAATATCTTGGCATGCACCTGGACAAAAGACTCACATGGCAAAAACATATCAAGACCAAACGCACACAGCTCAGAACTAAATTCCACAAGATGTATTGGATGCTGGGACGCCATTCGGAGCTCTCAACAGAGAACAAGATCCTATTATATAAAACTATACTAAAACCGATATGGACCTATGGCATACCCTTATGGGGTACCGCTAGCAACTCCAACATCGAAATTCTTCAACGATTCCAAAATATGGTACTGCGTGTACTAGTTAACGCACCATGGTACGTACCAAACTTCGTCCTACACAAGGACCTGGGAATTCCAACAGTACGCGAGGAAATCACGCTCTCCAGTAAAAAATATCAGGCACGCCTCCGGAAGCACCCGAATTCCTTAGCGACGCACCTCTACGATGAAGAAGAAGTCAGGAGGCTTCACAGATTTAAACCGTCAGAACTGTTAACCAGATTTGCTATCTAATTTTGTAAAACAATTAACTAGTTGACTATAGTTAGTTAAATTACATATAGAACGAGTTCATTGGAACACGTTCTTCATGTTAAATTACTTTTATACTCATCATAACTAGTACTTATTATCCAAAATAGCTGGATAGATTGTATAATAAATTGGAGAAATAAAAAAAAAAGTCAGTATGAAGAGGCTTCAATTTACTACACATTACTGACGTGTAGTTATGCCAAGCCTTAAAGTAAACATCTGTTGCATAGTTTAATGCGTAACATCCCCGTTGAAGTGGTGCCCGTTACAGAGCGTCACACTTTCTCTACGTTTGTGATTCTTAACGCGTTGCGTAGACTCTGCAGGTACGCTGATGATCTGTTTTATGCTCGCCCTTTTCTTACTTCACCTCTTTCCGTCTAGAGCTCGAGAATCACTGTTAGGTGCCCTCTCTTCTCTCACCGTTCCTCTTGTTGTGCGATGCGATGCAACTTCCAGCCTCACCTTACCTGTTGCAGCGTCGCTCGTCTTCTCCTTGTTGTAGCACTCTTTAATTTCTCAGGGGTTTTTTTATGCTAGCCAGTAGGTAGGGCAAGGAGTTCTATCCTCAGGATCGCATACAGGACCTTAACTCAGAAGAGCACAGGGAAGCGATCAAATGCACACGTACAACATGATTCTGGTTTATTGTGGCACCATTTCTTTGATAACCGTTCACACTTATCACTACAACACGTACATTAATATGACAGTTAAATGACTCTTGCTTATTCGCAAACTCGCCTGTTAAT